TTTAACTTTTTTTAAAAATTTTAATTTAAATGGTATATTATGAGGTACAAGGACTAAGGAAAGATGAGGGCATCGCTCGAAATAACGGTTGATCAATGATCAGCTACTTTTAGGCAAATTTTGAAAAATTCCAGGAAAAATAACCTGTTATTGTGAAAAAATTATATTTGATCAGCAAGATTTGAATATCTCGAGTGCTGCGAAAGGCCCGAGCTAGTGGGGGATCCAAGCTAGTGAGTAACTCCAAAAAGGGCCGATCATGTTATATAATTTCTCAAACATTGTTTAATAATACTTGTATTTTTTTATTTATATTTTGAAAATGAAATTTAAAAGATAAACAGAAAATGACTTCGAGTCTTCACTTAGGACCTCCAGACTTTAAGGTATAGGATCCTAGATGTTAAGGGCCTCCACTTGCCATGATTCACCACTGATTGCATAAATAACATAATTTAACGAAATTAATAAAGTTATATATTTAATTAAAAACATGAGTAAGTAATTTGATACAAAACAACTGTATAGTAAAAATAGAATTTTATCAAGATAATTAGAAAGCTAATTCATTTTTAAATTGATATTTCATACTAATCCAAATAAAAACTAATTAATTTATATATTAACTTTTTTTTTTCACAGCAGAGCTTTGCAGTTTTTTTGAAAACTGCCTTATTAATAACTGTTTACAGTCTGAAAAGTGTAGTTTTGTTCTAAAAGGTAAGGAGAATTTACTCTTAAATTTGCATGTTTTTATTTTATGTTTCCAAAAAAGATTACAGTTTTTAGCTTTTTTTTCTTTTGTGGCAAATAATTTCTATATATAAAAAAACGTAAATCCAATGCTGAGCCAAGAGCTATCTGATACATGACGGTGGCTTAATGAGTATAAGCATCTCAAAAATCAATATATATATATATATATATATATATATATATATATATATATATATATATATATATATATATATATATATATATATATATATATATATATATATATATATATATATATATATATATATTAGGGCTGTTTATATGAACACAGGAATAAAATTTTTTTCTCGAATTTAAATGCATAGTTGTTTATTTTGTGCCACTTGACATAGTAATTGACTGTGTAAAAAATCTTTCCAATCAGATAATGTTTAGGGGGTGCTCAATGACCATAAAGTTTTACGAAAAACGTCAAAAACGTGGAAAAAGTTCCAAAGTTCCAAAAATTTCTAGAACCTGGTTAGTTAGAATTTTTCCACTGAAATATTGTCTGATTGCGTGCTATATAGATTAATTAAAGTGCAGCAGATTAACTGTCATCAGGGCACCAGACTAAAAAATGTCTGCTAGTGTTTAAAACAACTGTGTTTATATCATTTTGTTAAAATTTGTATTCATAATTTTAATACTATTATTTAACTCAATTTAGAATTTGTTCAAACAGAATAAAAAGGTTTACAAGTATAAATATTATTTTTATTTGGAATTTCAGTTTGACAACAAATGTATTAATATTTTGATAGTACCTAACCTTAGTAACCTATTACAGAAAACTAGCATGGTAGTCTGGTAGTGTATTGTTTGTTATTAAGTGCAGATAATAATAATTTCTAATTTGAAAATATTTATTTAATTTCTTTAGTAATAATTATTATTATATATTGCTGGAGCTGCATAAACCAACAACTGAATGATAAGTTTGTATAATATGGTATTGAGTTTTGATTTTCTCATAATTTTTCAGTTATCATTGAAATGGCAGCATCATCTCGTGTTGCTATCTCTACACGACTTCAAACCGAAATCTTTTTAATTGGACAACCAGAGCCAAATCTTCCAGATAAAGTTCTTCCCTTAACATCTGATGTTTTAAAAACATTTTTTCATCATCTTAATTCAACCAAAAAGTCAGTGCCTGAAAGTCTTAAAACAACTGTTGATGAACTGATTATTATTTGGAATAAAGCCCGTATTCCGACAGCATTTCATCCAAATGTAGTCTTAAAGCTGAAAACTTTAGTCCAGGAATTTAAATTAATAATAAAAAAAAAAATCCAGATTGTCAGATTTTCAGAAATCAAGAGAGAAATCATTTACTGACATCATTGGCCTACTTTTTGACATTGCCCACAAGGATGCTGAAACCATGATCAGAATTGAAGAAAAGAAGATAAAGAATTTTTATTGGATCAGAGATGTCAGAGAAAAATGGTGATGTTTGGAGAGGACAAAGAACTTTCAAAATTAGAAGCAAGAAATGAAGCAAGGAAACAAGCAGAGAGAGAACGAAAGCTAAAAGAAGAGCAAAGACAATCTGGTGCCAGTGCAATAGTTCCTGTTATTGAACCTTTACATGACGAAAGTTATAGTGATGACAACGATAACGATGCTGTTGATAATGACAAAATGGTTGATAGAGATTTTGAGATAGAAATCCCTGTTTATTACAGACAACAAGTCAGTAAAGCAAGTTCTTCAGGGTCAGCTGAATCAAGTTTAGCAAGTACTCCAAAACGACAATGTATCTTAGATACAATTCTTGACTCGCCTGATGTTTCATCAACATTAGACAGAATTAATCTATCTGACACAAAATTTACTATACTAGCAGCAGCAATTGCAAGGGCTGGTGGACAGAACCTCGATGATGGATCATTGTCACGTTCTACAGTCCGTAGAAAACGAACCTATCATCGATCAAACATTGAAGCCACTGTTCGAACTGAATTCTGCGATTTGGACAAACCACCATTAATCGTCCACTGGGATGGCAAACTGATGATAGATCGTACAAATTCTGCAGACCCTAAAGCAAATGTTGACCGGCTATCTGTAGGTGTGACAGGTCACAATGTTGACAAAATACTTGGAATAGCAAAACTATCAGCTGGAACTGGAGAAGCCCAAGCAAAAGCAGTTATTCATCTGCTTAATTTCTGGGACATAATTGGTGATGTTATTGGAATGAGTTTTGATACTACAGCCTCTAACACTGGCTCCGAAAATGGTGCATGTGTAGTTCTAGAGAAACATATAGGTAGAAATTTGTTATATTTTGCTTGCAGACACCATGTTCATGAGATCATAGTAGCAGGAGTGTTTGGATCACTATTTGGACCATCATCTGGTCCCAACATACCTCTTTTCCAGAGATTTCAGCAATATTGGCCCAAAGTTAATCAAGGAAATTTTAAACCTCTGGATGACATCCGAATCAAAATACCCCTGGTGCAAGAACTACAAAATGAAGTGATGGCATTCCTCAAAGAAAACCTGCATGTTAAAATGCCAAGGGATGACTACAAAGAAATCATGGATCTCTGTTAATACTTGGAAAACTGCCTGATCAAGAAGAGAAAAATTATCATCTCAAGATCCCTGGTGCTTATCACATGGCTCGCTGGATGGCCAAGGTTATTTATTGTTTTAAGATTTATTTATTTCGTGAAGAGTTCAAGTTGACCGCAAAAGAGGAAAAAAATCTCTGTGAATTTTGCTTATTTGCTAGTCTGGTTTATGTAAAATCTTGGATATCATGCCCAAATGCCAGCGATGCTCCAGTTAATGACTTGTTTCTGTTTCAGCAACTTAAGCAGTTTGCAGTTGTGAATAAAACGATTTCCGAAGCAGCAGTCAAGAAATTTCAAAACCATTTGTGGTACCTTTCACCAGAATTGGTCCCACTAGCTTTGTTTTCAAACAAACTTAAAACGGAAGAGAAGCGAAAAATGATTTCCAACATGAAATTTCACGGTGAGAACTGGTCTGAAAGGTTGATCAAATTAAAGAACATTGAAAGTCTAGAGAAGAAATCTCTGGACATGCTGGTGACATCAGTTTCAGCAAGTGCGTTGCGGTCAATGAAGGTTGATATTGATTTTCTGTTCAACAACGATCCAGCTACCTGGAATGATTCCCCAGAATACCAAGAAGGAAAAAATTTAGTATATTCATTGAAAGTAGTAAATGATGCTGCCGAACGATCTGTGGCTTTAATGTCGATGTTTAATGAATCGATTACAAGGAATTAATCTGAAATGCAGAGGTTAATTCAGGTGGTTGAGGATCACAGAAAGCGAGTGCCAGATGCCAGAAAGTGTACTCTGAAGAGTTATAGTCCTCGCTAGCATTAACATTGCACGAACTATAACATTACGATAATTAAATGTTAATTGCTCATATGTTTTTGAGTTGACCTACTTAGTAGTTGATAACGGTTTGAGAAACTGTTACTCCTTTACAATAATTTTTTTTGTTTATAATTCGTATTTTAATCAATGACAAAGAGTCAAAAATCTTAGTGTTTTATTTTGGAAAAATTCTGATATAACAAAAACCGCAGAACTTTAGTCGTATTGCAGTATTTTATTTCATTAATTTCTCTGCTAATAAACCAGTATAAAGTGGATGTGGATTGTAATTTGTATTCAGAATTTAATATTTAGAGATAATTAAAACTGATCAAATCTGAAAAATCTAATTAACCGGGTTTTAGAAATTTGTGGAACTTTGTTACTTTTTCCATGTTTTTCACATTTTTCTTAAAACTTTATGGTCATTGAGCACCCCCTAAACATTATCTGATCAGAAAGATTTTTTGCACAGTTAATTAATATGTCAAATGGCACAAAATAAACAACTATGCAATCAAATCTGAAAAAAAAAATTTTTTTGGACAGCCCTAATATATATATATATATATATATATATATATATATATATATATATATATATATATATATATATATATATATATATATATATATATATATATATATATATATATATATATATATATAAATACACAAACATACACACACTTTTGGTTACTTTGATAATAAAGCTACTTTTCAATGTCATTTGCTAAGTGTCAATGCTAAAACCATTAAACTTATTATTGAAATACATTTAATTTATCTTTAAAAAAATAAAAATAAACACAAAAACAATTTTTTTCTATACTTCTAGGCAACTTAAGAAAAAAACTTTTATGTAAAACTCCTCTATTAATTGTAGGAGGAGCTAATAAACCTTAAAAGGTAATCTCCCTACAAAAATACTTTGTTCCAATTTAATTTTAAAAAATTAAATAAATCTCAATTTTAATAAGGAAATTTTATTGTGAGGACCCGCCCAAACCTCAAAAAAGTTGAAACTTTGATGCAAAACTTTAAAATTTTACCAGGAATCTTTTCAACTTATTAGTGTGATTTTTTAGTCATCGGTTTTTTTTTTTAAGTTATAAGATAAGCACAAAATTAAATCCATATCTAACACTATCATTCAAATAATTTAAGAAAAGTTAATGAAGAACTTTGATGCCTTTACTTAAAAGAAATGAATTCTACTGATCTAGCCAATTCTACTGATCTAACCATTTAGCCATTCTACTTCATCTAGCCAAGCTGACAAGGATGAGAAATTTAATATATCTTTCTCAAACCATAACAAATGGATACTCAACAAATAAAATACATTTATCAAGGATGTAAAGTCTTAAGGTGAATTCCAGTTTTAAAAATTAGAAAACTATTATTTATTTTAGATATTTTGTGCTCAGAAGCACCAAAAAGACATGATTGAAAGGTCAGTTTTGAAAAAAAAAAACAAGTATTTAAGTCAGAATTTTATGACTTTTAAAACTTAAGTCTATTTTAGGACGTGACATTCTTGAAATAAATGGAAATATTTCACTGCTACCTAATAAAGTATAAAAACAGCTGAAAAAACAGTTTTTTTTGAAAAATATACAAAACCACAAAACTTGCAATAACGACATATGATGTTGATAATGAAAATGATGCTGATAAGGACAATGATATTGATGACAACAATGATGTTGATAAGGACAATGATGTTGATGACGATGATGATTAAATATTATAACTATTATAATAATGTAAAAGTAAAAAAATATATAAAAATCATTAAAAATAAATTTTTTTATCTTATTTTTTAAAACAAATCAAACTATGTTAATTATTTCTACCCACATTTTCATGTTTGAAGTAAGTAAGCATCCGCAGCTCTCTATAAACGCGTTTGCTTGATACTATATTTTGAAAGACATTGGGCATCTTCTTCAGGGCTATCCTTTTTCCTGTACGTGGATCAGTCACAGCCCTTTTTTCAAACAAAAAATCTTTTGAATGTCAAAACAGATAAAATCAACAATTTAAAGATAAAATAAAAAAATTAAAGAAAATAAATAAGTAATAATAACATTAAAACAACAATTCAATAATTCAGATAAATATAAAACAATAATTCAGATATTTAATACAACAATTTAACATATGAATATTTATGTTATAAAAAACAATTTTAAAAACTAATATAGTATTAAAAATGTACAATTATTACCTAAATATACAATGTAAATAATTATATATCAATATATATATATATATATATATATATATATATATATATATATATATATATATATATATATATATATATATATATATATATATATATATATATATATATATATATATATATATATATATATATATATATATATATATATATATATATATATATATATATATATATATATTTGCTTTTCATTAACTTACCATACAACTCCAAAAGCTCCATATCCGATAGGTCTATCTATCTCAAAAGTTTTTGAATCTTTAGAATTTACATTACTATGAAATTTTTTTACAGTAGGCCCGTCGTCGTCAGTTATGTTGGACTGTGGTGTTAAAGCACTCGATGTATTATAAAGACCATGGGCTTTACATAGAGCCATCGGGAAATGGTACAATGGAGACGAGTAAGGATAGAAGGAATCTTGAACTTTATTACCGAGATGTTGAGGTCTTATTTTTCATCACAGATTATAGCACTAGCACCGGCAAAGGCTACAAGCCAAATACCACAATTTATAATCAGGTGCAGAGATAATACTGCAGGTTTCAGTGGATTTTGGGCATCTCAAAGGTATTTATCAGAGAGTCAGCTTCTTCCTGCAGCTGGACAATGCAAGTTAGACGAATCGAAATGAATGATCACAAAACTTTTTTTAAATCAGTGAAGCGCATGCGTTAAAAGATTTTTTTGAACAACTTCAAGCTCACACCGTAAAAGCATATCTTAAATTTCAATTTAAAAAAACTGGGATTAAAGTTTTTTTTTTTCTGAGCAGTCAAAGCGTTCGGGTCAGTTAAATACATCAATGCATAAACAAACTTAAACTCAATGCGTAATTTAAGATTTTATGCAAAAAAAAACCACGTATTACACAATACATAGCTCCAAAATAATAATGGGAATTATTAAGCAACTAAAAAAGCGTCTATTTAATGTGCTAAATAATAAATTTATATATGCAATAAATTAAAATTTTAGGTTAATTAAACTCAAAAATTATTATGCGCTTAAACTAAAAAAAAAAAAAAAGAAAAAAAAAAAAATCGTTTTTCGCATTTTTTAAAATTTTATTTGATATAAATAGATGATCTCTTATAATCGGCTTGTCAAATTGAGCATTCAAAATAAGTAATTTTTTTGTTTACAGAGTAATCGTTTGGTAGTGCCAAAAAAGTAAACAATCAAAATCGATTATAGAATGACAAGTAAACAATCCGCATTATACTTAGCTGATCCGAATTATGAGTTTAAATTACGACTAAGCAAACTATTTGTGTTGGTTTTGGTATTTAAATTAACAAATTTTAAATGAAATAAATGTTCTTGTTATCATATTAAGCCCAAAAGTGGTTATTTAAATATTTTTTGTATGTAAAATAACAAAAACAAAACTTATCACTAATAAAAAGCTCAAAAAAACGGGGCTAGGAAATAATTTGAGGCAAAATGATTCTAGAACAAAAAATGCTATCACTGGTTGAAGTCTGAAACTTCAAATGTATATTTGAATAAGATCTTAGATATGATAATAATCTTACTTATTAAAATGTCATCTGATTTAATTTAAAATAAATGTTATAAAACATTAAACGACGCTACAAAGTACAATTGTACCACGTACGACAGTGACTTGAAATGAATTTAAATCAACTTTTTTTTATTTCTTAAAATGTATAAATTATTAGGTGAGTTAAAGTATACAAGCTATTTACGAAAAATCAGTTTTCAACTATAAACTCGTTGCCAATAGTTTTTCTGTATTTTCAATGATCTTTGAAAGTGAAATTTAGAATAAGTATATGATCATTTAACTTGAATAAATAGTTTATTAATAATTGGTGGTTTCAAAATCACCCAGCAGGAAATAGCTGTAAGCTAACTTATTAAAAGATATTTGTAATGATTAAGTAAGCAAGTCAATACAGTTGACCCTGTTTTTTGACTACAGAACATGCGATAAAAGTAAATACACGTTCTATTTATTTGATACCTTTAGCTAAACTTCAAATCTTTTTACAGACATGGAAAACCTCGTCACAGAGCACCGAAAGCATTTAACTAGGAAGTCCACGCTTCCTTTCTTTCCGAAGTCGCAAATACGTCCTAAAAAATGTCGCAAATACGTCGATTTTAAAGCAAGTGCTCTAACCACTGCGCCACGGCTTTTCATTTTTTTCAAATAGTTTGAAAAATGATGTTTAAAAAAAAAAAAAAAAACTTCATGTATAGGTTGTTACAATTTTGTTGATGTCACTAGCTTTGATATCCACAATGGTTTTAACAACATCTACTTTGCGTTAGAATTATTTATAGATTATAGAACACATTTTAATCATTATACATTTTTTACAAAAGCATTGCTAAGTAATTAAAAATACTTCAGAAATAAAAGTCCTATTTTAAAGATACCAAGTAACAGATAATCATTATGGAATCCGGATGGTAAATAATTTGGTTTCCAAGTTTAGCATAGTTCAGTGTTTGAGCAATGTTTTAAGTTTATAAAAACGATTTTTAGAATAATATCGAAGTAAAAATTAAATTAAATTTAACCATGTCTGTAAACAATGCAATTTTTTTTAAATAATTATATAATGCAACTTTATTCTGATGCAAATTATTTTTATCTGAATACAAATTCATAATTTGTATTCAGATATAAATATTATGATAAGTTTAAGACTAATAAACTTTTAACTGATTTGGCTTCAACAAGTTAGACATTTTTTCATTATGAAACGCAAGATGTTAGCCATACTCTAGAATTTTGATTTGTCATATACAAATTTAGATTACATTTAAAAAAATGCACACACACACACACACACACACACACACACACACACACACACACACAAAAGAATCAAACTAAATTCAATAAAAAAAATTTTTAATAATAACCTTTCTTAGCTTTTTCCGCGTAAATAATTTGTATTCAAAAATTAGCAAATAACATTGGTATAGCATAACGAATTTCTCCTACGAAAATACACAAATTCAAAATTGTTTATTTTATATATTTTTTATATATAATTTTTATCCATTGTATCTTGAGAAACATGGATGGCACGCAAAATCTTTTTTTTCTAAACCTTTTTTTTTACAAGTAGGGGAACCTGTTGTACTTTTGACCACTTTTTGCTTTGAAGCGTTTTTTGCGTAGTCAATTGAAAAAACTTAAACCATTCAAACTATATAATATTCTATCATATTTTGCCCTAAAACCATACTTAGGACTTTTTTCATTCGTCCAAGAAGTATCATTTTCCCGCGTTTTAAAAAAGAAAGTCTATTGGTCAAAGGTACAACACATACGTTGTACCTTTGACCGATGCGTGTTGTTCCTTTGACCAAAACGTTATTATTAAAAAATCATGCAATGTTTGAACCTCTTTAATATTTTAGTTTGTTATATGTTATATAGCAACTTTTGGCCTACCTTATATCAATAAAAAAACAACTCTTATTATTTTGTAATCAATCCTAATTGTCTAAAAAAATTAATAAAATCAATCCTTAAAATCTTGCAAAGACTTGTGTATCGAAGTTACGATACTCAGTCAGTATTACTAATAGTATTACTAATTTTTTTAAATAAAATCAGTTATTATAAACTATTTAGATAAAGTCATATTTCCTTTAGTTAGATGCTTTAGTTAGATAGGTATTCAAAGGTACAACGTCCTAGTCTGGTCAAAGGTACACGAGATGGGTTTCTTTAACAATTATCGTTTTAATCCCCATTTACGGTCAGACATAATCATCCAAACTTTTCCATAAGAAAAAAATGATGTTGGGTAATGTTTCTAATGTCGTAAATGAATCAAACAACAATTTATCACAGTTTTAAAATCAGAATAAGATTAACCCAAATATTTACTTTTTAAGAGCCAAAACTTATAATTACTTGTTGATCAATACCATCTATTCCAAGTATGGTGTTTTACGGTAAGAAGAGTCGTCATAAACTTTTTTTTTAAATGGCATTTCACGTTCTTTTAAAATAATAATACTAAGCCGACAGAGTACAGTGAACAAAGGTACAACGTGGTCAAAGGTACAACAGGTTCCTCTATTAATTATGATTAGGGGTGCACCGGATTGGAAATTTTGAATTCCGGCGGGAACCGGATTTGCCAGAATTGTTAAAAAAATTCCGGATGGAACGAGACTTACATTTATGTAATTTTTTATCTTCAAGAATGAAAGTGAAAGCCTGCACCTCATTGTGGCTACATAATATATATTTATATCCTATAATTTATATATATATATATATATATATATATATATATATATATATATATATATATATATATATATATATATATATATATATATATATATATATATATATATATATATATATATATATAAAGAGATTGCATAAAGAGATGAAACTTTAGTTGATGTTAATTTTGCAACGGATTTGATATAAGGTTTCCAAGAAGGATCAGAAGTAAAACTTAATCCTAGAAGATGAAGGAGTAGATGACTCATTGAGTACATTACCGTTCATAAATATAGGAAGGTTAAAATTATTGCGATAACGATTGGCCGAAAAAGATTGAGTTTTATAAAAATCAAACATTTAAAAAGAGCTCGTTTGTTGCCCAAAACTGGATAGCAACTATTTGCACCACAATTGTCACATACTTTTAGAAATCCTTACATAAGTGATTACTGCAAATAAACATAGGCAAAGTTAAGTGGTCTAAAATAATTTTATTTGTTCGCTTGTTGTGCTTGCTCACAGTGGTCACTTTTTAATATTAACGTAGAGAATATTTATTGGCTTTAGAACATACATCGAATATTTTATATCCTGCTGCTACAAGGGAGTACTGCTACATCCTTTATCATTTAATCTACTGCTACAAGGAAGTAGTTTAAAAATTCTAATGTTTGAAAACCCTCCACTGACGAGAGTGCAACAAGCAAAAAAATAAAATTGTTTTAGACCGCTTAACTGTAGCTTTGCCTAAAATTAGACTGTGTTTGAATTTTGTATTTTTTGAAGTTTGTATTTTTTTACCAAGGTTTACCTATAGTTCTTCATTTTCCTGTATGACAATAATTTTTTGATTTAAATTACACAGTCAGTGTCACTTGTCTTTAAAAAAAAAGAAGTAAAAATTAAATTCTGGCATTCCGGCCGGTACCGGAATGATCTAAAAGTCGCAAATTCCGGCCAGAACGGAATTCTGGTACAACTCTAATGATGATAAAGAAAGTTCTCGAAAGTTTTTGCTTGATTTGTAACGTAGTTGCTAGGTGTTTTATGTTTTGCACAGTCTACACAGGCATGTTAGATAAAGCAAGAGGTTTTTTATCATTTTTATTATTCTATCTTGTGATATTGATTATCAGATGTTATTAGTTTTGACTTCTTTTTTTTTTTTTTTATTTAATTTAAACCTATTTTGAAAAATTAGTTCAATTTAACTCGCTGTTTTGAGTATATTGACATGAATTAAAAAATTAATAAACTGTTGAAAATCATGCGTTTCTTTATTTTTAGATTCTTTTTCTAAAACTGTAAAATGCTGAAAAAAAAGAGGGTTCCAAACTTTACAAATCCGTATCTTTTGAGCTCTAAAGTACATTATCATGAAATTTGAAATTTATTTATAAATTATGATTCTATTTTGTT